GCTGACTTGCCAAAACATGGGCTGGTTTGAGCTCCATTGCTATTGGCTTGTGCTGGCTGCAGAGAGGTAGCAGAGCTGTCTCTGACGCCCACCAAATCACAGCATTCTGTCATATTTTAAGCACATAAACCTGGTACTAAGAGCATGATCAAAAATGCCTCAGAAACAAATGAGACATTTCTACTAAGCTTCAAATGTGATTATAAATTAACAATGATCTAATCTGTATTTTTTGCTCTGCATTCAGACTTCTCAGTTTAGTGAATTCTAAGTAATAATAGGAAGGGCAGTCCAGCAGACGCTTCAGTTCACTGAAGTACAGACAGGAATCCAAGTGCACGAGAAACAAGAAGAAGAAATAAGTGTCTGTATACAAATAGTGGGAACATGGGTAGGAAAATGGAGGAATTTTACCTACAGATGCAAGATGTCTATACAGAAAATCTAGGAGTAATAAAAACTTAGCAGAAACAATAACTGGAGTCACTGAGTAGTATAGGTTCTTCAGAAAGTAGGGAAATATAGCTGTTAACATTACATGAAACTTTAGGATAATTTGTGATGAAATTAGTTATGTCAACAAAACAAATTCTGTCTGGATCAAACACTTCAAGTATGAAGAAGGTTTTTTTTTCAGAATTAATGCTTGTGAAAAATCTCCAGGGTATCAAGTTTAATTCTGCAACATTATTGTAGAGAGGAATGTAAAAAAGAAATTGTCATTAAGAGATGTTGAAGCTCACAGATTGCTTCACCAGTCACTAAACCAGCAAAAGATAATGATAGTATAGATCTGGTTTTTGCTTTGAAATGTGTAGAAAACAAAACATAACCTGTGGTCAAACATTCAGGCACTGAGTCCATTAACATTACATGACAAAATAAGTAATGGTCAGAAAACCTTAATAAGCAAGACAAACTAGTTAAATAAGTGAAATATTATGGGACTTTATGGTCGTCTCTGTGATGAAGACATCAAATTTCATCAAGTGCAGCATTTTGTGTTGAATCTGACAGCAGGGGACCAGGTTCAGCCATCCAGGAAGTCCCCTCCAGACCCATGTTCCTAAATTTGTCAGTTAAATGCAAGAGCCTTAAGTAAAGCAGAGGTAACTTTGAGATGGTTTGACAACTTTTGTTGCTGTCAGTATTCTTTAACATTCTTCAACTCAATGGTGAATTTGGACATTGGCTGCCAGACAGAAGAATCTGCTCTTGTGACAGTGTAGATGTTTGAGATGTTGGCCAGTTTGTCTATTGTCTGCTCTACTGAGTATCTATCAAACCTGACACTTCCAGCTAGGGAGTCTGATTCAGATGCTTTCTCCATAGATCAGTCCTCCTGGTCTCCCTTATCCCTGAACAGTAAGATAAGGTTGTTATGGTGTGTGTGCAGTTTGTACAGGGCAGTGAGGAAGACGAAACTGGGGAGAGTACCTGATAGTAAGGACGCTGAAGTAGAGATGTCTACCCTGGAGAAGAGAAGGCTCAGGGAGATTTTACCAATCTACGTAAGTAGCTGTGCAAAGAAGATGGAGCCAAGCTCTTTCTAGCAATGCTTAGAGACAAGAGGCAATGGGCACACATTCAGACACAGGAGGTTCCCTTTGAACATCAGAAAACACTTTTGTCCTGTGAGGGTGACCAAGCACTGGCACAGGCTGCCCAGAGAGGGTGTCATGTCTACCTCTTTGGAGATTTTCCAGTGCCACCTGGACATGATTCTCAGCAACTGATTCTAGGGGATCTTGTTTGAGCAGGGTTTGGACAAGATGACCTCCAGAGATCCCTGCCAACCTCAATCATTCTGTAAGCAAACTCCAGTCATTTTAGTAAGTTTAATTCTAAAAGTCAGGAAAAGTTTGTTGCTTAATATAAATGTTCTGCATAACTTCAAAGATACCCACTCACTGTGAAACTGTGATTTCTGGAGGCAGACTATGGCTTGCTTAGAAAATCAGACAGGAATTACGAAGTGGATCGCTATTATGCTTGTCCATATGCACCCATTATTATTAGAAGCAGCAGCAGAGAACAGGCAGAAAAGATGCTACAGGAACCTTTAAGGGAGTTTTACTAAAGAAGAGAGGTCTTGAACTTTGCATTAGCATGGCACTAGCTCTGTAATTCTCTTAACTTATCTCTCTCTTCCTACCAAATGCTGGGTACTTCTCTCTGTGTCAGCAATGAGGAACTCACAGCCTGGAAAAACGAGTTAGGTTTGGAGAAACTACAGTCGAGAGATTAATTTGAAGGATTTCTGAAATTAACCCCTTTTATTTCTCCTTCCTGTCTCATGATCTGAAACTCTCTTTCTTCCCAGTGTAACACCACTGTAGCTCCTTCCTTTGAGTTGAACTCATGTCATTGTGCTCATCACAATTTAACCTTTGGCTGTACATTCTCCATATGACAGTACAGCATATGGGTCCCAAACGGTTCAACTGTGAGTTACAGCTTCAGAGTGTACCCAGACATGCTATTCATGTTATACCTCAGAAACCACAAAGAGCTTTAAAAATATTGATTCAGGAAATGCTGAGGAATTTTCTGCAGTCTTGTGAGGGATAATGCAAGGTTATTATTTGAAGTTCTTACCCAAGACCTTCTAAAGCTCAGCTTTGTCTGTTCAGTGACTGGAGAATAGGGCTACTTGGCCTGTATATTTCCTGGCTGCACTCCTTTTGCAAAAGCTAATTTCTTTTCACCAGAGACCTATGTAATGTCAACTAGCTCATGTGATTTTCTGATATATGAAAACCATACTGACTTAAGTTTTATATCATATCTAAGCTTGTCCAAATACATAAAGTGAAGGGATGAAAACAGGCAATGCTTTACTTGCCCAACACAAAAAATGCATTTTTCCTTTTGCACTCTGCTTATGTATTGTAAGAGAGGATGAACAAACAGATTGGTCTCCTCCCACCACATAGCTGCGTTGCCAGCACTCGGGAAAATAAAGACTGCATGGATTAAAAAGTCGCAAGGTTACTGTTAAGGCATAAGCTACTGAAATAGGAGGATGCATTGAAGAGTTCTCAGTTCAACAGAATCAGTCCTATTGTGAGCAATGTCAGCCTCACTGCTAATGTGGAAGCCAGGGATGAGAATGCAGGTAAGATCTTTCTATACCAGGGCATGAACAAATGACAATGAATTGCAGCAATTGCCACAATAATTTGTACAGTGCATTTTTAATTTCTATTAAATGTTGCCTTTTGAAAACTGCTTTACTTTCAGCTGCTTGAGAGTAAAGCATTGGAGTTCTTTCAGCACTGCCTGTGAAGTGACCTTACTGCTTTCGCTTATGTTTTGAAATCTATTTATGATGCCCATTTAAGAAAGCATTTGCAGCTCCTAAGGCTTATGTGAATAATATTCACAGTCTTTTAAATGAGCTCCGTTAGCATTTTTTTCCCAAGACATCCTCTGAAGAAATCTTTCTCTGAATCACAATTTGTGCATATGCAATTAATTATTGTCAGGCTCTTAGACAGACTGATCATGTGGGAATTGACCATTTCGTTTTCACATAGAAACAGCCTTTGCCTTTGCCTTTGCCTTTTGCTGTCTCATAGAAACAGCCCTTGCACTGGCATCCTGATGATGCTCTTTTCCTCAGTTTGCTTGATTAGATCTTTTGATTGAAGTACTTGAAAGACATAATTTCATAAATAAACTTGAAGCAATTCCATGAAAACCACCTCATCCTCCCTTAATCATTCTCATTTTATTGATGATTTTTCAAATATGTTTTAAAAGCATTGTGTTGTGATGAGTCAATTATTGAACTGTATACTTTGCAGATATCTCACAGTGGTAGGATAATGGTAGGTTAATAAGAAAATCTTCACTTAGAAAAATATATTAACTTCTAGAATTTTCTAACCAAACATCCCTCTCCTTTTCTATAAAGATGCAAACTGCTTCATGAAAGTGAAAACTGATTGTGGGTCATCAAACTATTCTGAATATTGTTTGTACTGATCCCTTGTTTTCATTTTAATATGCACCTTAATGGTAGCTAAAGATATTTATGGCTCTAAATATAGAGATCTATTCTAACAAGAAGGAACGTGAACTTATTTCTGAACTTTTCAGTAGCAGTAGCTGGTTGGTGCATGAGAAATATGGAGACCCATAAACAGCCTGTTGAGTTAAAGAATTCTGCTTTCATATATGATGTGACTGGTAGCTCTGCTATATATGTGACAAGATCTGGAGGTAAAGGAATTATTTTGTTTTTATTTGACCAGATTAGGTGGAAATACTAAACTGATTTTCAGGCATTTGGCTGAATTTTTCTAATAGCAAATTATTATAGCTACCTAAAAAATTTGTCCTGTCATTGTCATAGAACCATCATGGCTATAACAAAATGCCACTAAATATCTCAATGTTATGCAAGATAGGTAGTTCATGCCTAGAATTAGAAATGATGGTAGTAGTTCAGAATGTCTGATGGCAAGTAATGACATTTAACAGAAAAATGTCAATATCATGATCAATGCAAAAAGTGTTTCTTTCTGCTTATACATACAGTCTTGCATTCCAATTCCTTATTCCTTGATTCTCAAGTCCACAAGTACTTACTACTATTTTTATTTTTTTTTTTAGTCTTCACCAAACAATGGTATTTCTTGACAACACACCCTCCAAATAATCTTCCATTGTGTCTTATAAAAAAATTAATCTGTGCCCTAGACTGAAACAAATTGGAAAAATAAGGAAGAAATGTTAGGAAAAGGTGCATACCTCTATCTAGGTTAATTTTCCAGCTGTGAGATTCCACAGAAAATAACTGGTGCTGTCATTGTCTCCTTGTATTACATTTGCTGACAGACAAACCTCACTTTTTTGTCTCTATTGAGTCAGTATGTTGATTGAATTTACTGTATTTTTTTAGTAGACTTCTATCTCATTTCAAAAAAAATTGCACTGCATATACGGTAACTGAAGTTGTCTCATGTTGTCACTGTTTGTTCTTCTCGTTCTAGGTGATGTGATTGTCTATATTAATGAAGTTTGTGTCCTTGGACATACTCACGCAGATGTAGTCAAACTCTTCCAGTCTGTTCCTATTGGTCAGAGTGTCAACTTGGTGCTATGTCGTGGATACCCTTTGCCCTTTGATCCTGAAGATCCTGCCAACAGCATGGTGCCACCCCTTGCAGTAATGGAGAGGCCTCCGGTAGTGGTAAATGGAAGACATAACTATGAAACTTATTTGGAATACATTTCTAGGACTTCTCAGTCTGTTCCAGACGTAACAGATCGACCACCACACTCCTTGCACTCCATTCCAGCAGATAGTCAGCTTGATAGCACATTCCCACCACCTGCCCATGATGATAATGTATCAATGGCTTCTTCTGGGGCCACCCAAGCTGAACTCATGACCTTAACCATTGTGAAAGGGGCCCAGGGCTTTGGCTTCACTATAGCAGACAGTCCTACAGGACAGAGGGTGAAGCAAATTCTAGACATTCAGGGATGTCCTGGTTTGTGTGAAGGTGACCTCATTGTTGAGATCAACCAGCAGAATGTACAGAACCTGAGCCATGCAGAAGTAGTGGATATACTTAAAGAATGTCCTGTTGGAAGTGAAACTTCTTTGATTATCCATAGAGGAGGTAAGTTTGGAAAGTCTGTACAATTACAAAAATGTGTGTAAAAGGTTCTAAACCATAAGACATACATATAATCACTACATCCTTGTTTGCTAGATTGGAAATTAATTTCCATGTTGTGGGAGGTTACACCATTGGTTTTGGAAAAGTGTGTCTTCAATTAAGTATCCTAGGCAAAATCTTGCAGTTTGTTGTACATTCCTTTTTGTGTTTTGAGTGTCAATGGTCCCATCTCTGTATAAGGATAAAACTAGGCAGTTCCTTTCACTCCATAATAGTTTGTGTGGTGTCTTCAGCAAACTCTTGTAGTCCCAAAGCAGTGCTGCAAGCTTTAAATATACTTGTATAGATTGACTCATTAATGTAGATAAAATCAGAGCAATCTATTAGCCCTTTACAAGGTTACTGGTTTTCATATGCCATTTTGCCTCCTTTTCCTTCATTGTAAAAATTTTGTACAACAGTTCTTTGGTTTTTTCTTTCTTAACAACAGAGATGCATGGTGTTTGTTTCTCTGATTTAAAAAATTAGTTTCTAGCAACCTAGTTTTTCTGACCAGCCTGACACAGTAAGTTTGAATATTCACCGCTGGAAGGGGAGAGTCAAGACTTATTTGTAAACAAGCAATAACAACAGAAGAAGTTTTAAAAACTTGACAGAGAGAAGTTATTTCAATAGTTTTTAATATTTTAGCCAAACAAAATTTCTTTTATGGTTTGAGATGAGCATCCATCATAATTTATTATTACCTCATGTGAATAATGATTGGATTTTTTTAATTAAAGATCTTTGTTTCTCTAAAAGCATTCATATGTCACTTAATGTGCATGACTCTGTGCTTCAAAAGAAAAAAAAAGAAAGGATTCTATGTCAAAATACTAACTACTTTACTTCTGAAGAGTAGAAGTTGGGAAATGAAGCCTTAGTGTTTGCATATGCCAAATGTTTGTCATTATGAAACCTACAAATCCTTAGGAAAAGGAATATAGTAACATTTTATCACATACAGAAGTAATAAACATAAGGTGATTAAAATATCTATAGATGCACATTGTCAATAAAGTATTTTTCATATATATATGTAAAAGAATGGTTTATAAGAGACAGAATCTGACATTTCTTTGGAATGAAACCAAATTAAGAGTGATAAGTAAATTGGAATCACTGTAGTATATAAACTTGGAGAAATTTAATTGTTGCAGAGGTGCTGTATTTGTTGGTATTAAATCTGTTTTTACCTAACATCCATTAAGAATCTGGAACAGTGGAGTAAGCAACTTTTTTTTTCTGAAGCAGTTGACAAATTAGGGAGAATTGCATAGTCAAAAAAGAATATAAAGGGTTAGTGTAACCCCAAAAGGTGGAATTTTATTTAGAAAAAGGCACACTAATCCCCCTCTAGAGGAAAACAATTTAGAACACGAGTCTTCAGAGAGAAGTGGAGTGTGAAATCCAGTATGCTGAACAAGCCTGAGCAATAATAGACAGCAAAATAGATATTTCAGCAATTGGTGCAGGACAGTAGCAAAAAACAGTAGCAAAAAACCCCATAGCAGCAACATACTCAAGCTCATGAGGATAATTGCTCTCTCTCAAGAGTATTTCTTCTTAGAGCATTGATTCATGATCAAAACAACTTGACCAACATGACAGTTTAACAAGTTCTGGTACATTAACTGAGCTGTGGTTGTTTTCTACACATCACTGTGGCAGGTAGGAGATACTACAATGAGCTCAACACTCGATAAAAGCAGTGTAAATCTACACCATCTGGTCTTTTCTCAGGCCAAACACTGAGGTACAGCTGACACATACACTAGGTCCAAATGCAGTAACATTTAACCTTCTGTTGCTGGGGCGGGAAGTGGTTGGTTGCTTTAGAGAATGCAAGGAAGAGGAAGAGAGCATGTTTTGTTCATGGTAAAACAATGACCAAGACTAAAGCAACTCTTAGGAAGTACTGCAGAGTCATTTAACTTAATGGGATGATACAGAGCAAATGCAAGTTTGCTATCAGAAATTCTTGTACATCAGAAAAAATGACTATACCTTAATGGAAGGTTCTGACACTCTGAAATTTAAAAAAAAAAAAAAAAAAAGCTCACTTATTTGAGGGATGCAAAAGAAGTGAAAAAATAGAGTGTATGAGTCAAACCTATTCTACCTAAGAGATGGCTAAATCATAGCTTAACACAAATATGAGAACAGTTTTAAGGTTACAACTTGTGTTTGGTTTCCTTTTTTTTTTTTGTAAATTTATAAGAAAGGGGAATTTATGTGACTAAATATACACCTATAATTCAGGTTACTATACCTGTGCTAGTCGTCATGTCTCCTTTTATAGTCCCTGGGCAGAAATAAGCTTTTCTAGGGTGTAATTCATGTAATTCCACTGTAGATGTTTCAAATAAGTCAGGTATACCTAGGTATACCCTAAAACTATATATTCTGCATGACTGACTATAAAGGGAATTGAGGATGACTGTTTCAGATGCATGTGTCTATCTCACGTGTTACAAATAAGAAACAGATGATAGCGTTTGGTCATGTGAGATAATCTGAACACAAAACAAAATTCAAGTACTTACAGAAACATGCTTTGATTCTAGAATATTTAATCTGTGATGCCAGTAAAGCAAGGCATACTTTCTCATTACTCATGGATCCAATTTTTATTTTATTATTTCTGATGTTTAATGACACTTGAATAATGCCGTCTTTTTCTATCATTACCCCGTGCATCCTGTCTTTAACATCGCATTTTTAAGATTAAGACCGAAGTGCTGCTCCTGCCTGTGGATGAGGAAGGCTGTGTTTTGCATAAGGTTGTGTGTTGCCTTGTAATATATTCTGTCTCTGATATGAATATGGCCTGACTGCGTAGTTTACAGTGGCAAATCCATTTCTGTAAGTGACTTAATTTCTCTCTTATCCAGCAATCTTATCTACATTGCAGACAAGAAACAGATCGACATTGACTGAGATATATTCTCACAGCATCTCACACTGGAAAAAAATGCTCCCTGGGATGGACATAGTTTGCATGTTATAGCATTTAAAAAACCATTGTCCCTCAAACTTAGAAGGTAAACAGCCAAAGTATGCAGGGGAAGGAAAGGTCTGCATGTTTCAAAAAGGTGGAGGGAATAGCAATACTCAAATTTAAAGAGGCCACTAAAAAAACCTCTCGGAACCAACACCAAACAGAGACATGTCATAGGGTACAATCCAACAGGAGGAAATCCCACTGAATTCATAGTCTACTCATTTTAAAATTTCTAAAGCAGAAATAACAATTTATCTGCTTGTTAAAAAAAAATGGAAGCAATATTATTGTCTATCAAAAAAAATAGAAAGCAGCTCTCTAGCACTAGTTAGACATCTTACTACCTTCTTTCTGTTTATTAGTCAGGTTCTTTGCTAAACACAGATGCACCAAAATAGTTCAGTTTCTTTATATCTGTTTTTGCTAAACAGCTGTATTGTTTCCATTGATTACTATAAGCTGACAGATGTGTTTGTTCTGGGAAAAAAAAAATAATGGAAAAGGTAGTAGAAAAGTGTTTCCTAAAAAATGAAAAAAAATAATAGGGAAATAAAATAAAATAAAATAATACCCAAAGAGATTTACTCCTTTCCAGCTTTGCTTCAGCCTTCACACTTCATCCTCAGCTTCTGCAGCAGACTTCATTGAGTATAGACTGCTGAAATAGCGTGGAAGAGCTCTCAAAAATCAGTCTTTCTGAATGTAGATAGAGAGTAAATTCTACATGAGTCCATTACTACTGAAAAACAGCACTTAGTGGTTGAAGTGGTATGTACCAAATTTATGTAGAGCAAAATATTCACTAATGAGGACATCAAAAACTGGTTTTGGCGTATTCTACTAAATGAGCTATCCATGTACCTGGCATATGCCATCTCTTTTGGGAAGTACCTTTGAAATATATGAACTTATAGATAGCAGCCCAGCTCCAGAAGTGCTCCTGTCTAAAAAAGAACTGACAGATTCAAATGTAGATCCATCAAGACTATGTAAGAAATACTGTTGTTAAGGAAACCTGCAGACAACCGAGGACTGACAACTCATAGCAAGTGTTGTGAGTGAAACATGAAAATTAAATGCAAAAAGTGGGAGCCTGGCAAAGTTCTTATGTCAGATAGCTATTTTATAATCATGGAATCAGAGAATGGTATAATCCAAACTGGCTCTGACAAACTGGGACTGTTAGTATGAAATGGAGCCAGAGGAGTGATGCATTGTCCACACTGTTTAGTTGTCCTGGGACTGGACTAAGTCAGCTGCCAGTTTCATCATGGCACTCTATAGGAGATAATGTGGGCCACATGCAATTCTCAAAGTCAAGATGAGGAGGGAGAATTTAACTATGGAGTTCTAAACTGCATGAATAAAAGAAAGGCCAAGTATCTTTCTCGTATTTTATATAAACCCCAGCAGAAGCATGTAACTCCTCGAAACCACTAAGAGATACCAGTATCTCACACAAAGCATCAGCAACTTTCAAAACAGACAGAAATTTCACAAAAAAAATCTCTGAATATTCTAGTGGATAAATCCAGCCACTCAAAATGAGCTGATTTCAATGGAAGGAATCCTACACCCTCAGTGCAATTTCCATGGACTTATCTCAGATTTGTCTTTCTACCCCAGAGATGATTTTTTTTTTTTTTTGTCCAGGCTTGCTATTCGTCCTCAGCTCATTCTTCTATTTCTCCAAGTTATTGTCTCTTGGGAAGGCTGCACAAGATCAAGCTGCAGGCAGCATCATTGCCCTGCTAACACTTGTCTGGATCAGGAATTTCTGATCTCCTGGTCCCATGACCTCAGCCCACCACTGATGTCTCTATAGCTTTTATTCTGATTCTGCAGTTCTTCATTCAAAATATTAACAGACTACCTGGTGCCAACTGGAGAACCTGTGTCTCATGGCTTGCTCACGCCCAGTTCAGAACTTTCTAGTCACCAATCCTGAGGGTTTAAA